ATTTTGAAACATGGATTCGATTGGCTTATATAAACTAGGTCAAACTATTTTCGTCAGAGGTTACTTGACACGATGGAGGCTACAGTGAAAAGGTTAGTGTCAAGTTAGCTCTGAAGCTCAGGGTGAGGTTTGACCGCCTGGAGCTGCATTTTCCCGCCTTGCGCTGAAGCCTCGTGCAGGCGAGTCAAGAAGCAATTAAAGTGCCTGACGCGGAGTTAGAAGTTTGAATTGAAAATATCTTGCAGTCGAAGGTCAGTGCCACAATACAAGCAACATTCTGCTGTAAAAACTTATTTTCGTGTAGCCATTGCGCAGCCCTTATAGGCCTAGTGGTATCGGGCATACAGTGCAGCTGTCAAATTTGGCACACGGCAAGCACATGTATTGTGCACGTGTATATCTCAGGACTAAATGTTCTTTGATAAGCAAAAAATACAAAAACATTGGATATATCTTTTCTTTCCGAAGAATATTATTTATTTTTTCACTTTACATCTTAAATACAGCAAATAAAATTAAATAAAGCAGAATTAAATTTGTTTTACGTTTTATTTTGGTCTGTTGACATTCAACTGCATTTTCACTGCGGAGCAGTTCTATTTGATTGATGGAAAATTTTCATGGCCACTGGTCTTCAGAGTTAGTAAAAGCGACTCCACCACAAGGTATATTTAGCAAGCAAGCTTTTACGTTGCTCTGACACTCAGGGTATTTCAAGAATGACAGGCCTCGGATACAAGGCCGACCCTTACCCCCTTGGTGTGGGGTTAGTTGTTTTGGAAGGCAAACAGTGCCATTTTCTGCAGTTTAGAACTATGATTCCGCTCTACAAAATGCAAATGTCAAGAGGGGAATCTTGGTGTGACTTTTTTCCCAGAAACCAAAAGGGAGGGGGGGGGGGGGTCAGGATCAGGACGCCCCTGACACCCCGTCTAAATCCGCCACTGCATTTTACCCCAAAGTTCTAACACTTTTAAGTATTAAAATACCCATGCTATAATATTTCAAAGATGAGCAAAAATGTACGTTTCCTTGTTTTGCCAGATTATAGAACAGGTAGCACACTCTTTCATTTGTAATGTTCAGGATGAACAAAGAGCTGACACTTAACTTTTGAGTACTTGAAACTATAAAGCTTGCTTCTCTGGTCATTTCGCATGGTAAATAGCCTGACAATTAAGGTAAATTGTTCCTGGTGTAAGCTGAGCTATTTCTGCCTCTTCTTTATCTCCAATAGGGTACATCTTTCCCTCTTGTGGATCTTTAGGGCCATTTAATTTTCACTGACATCCATCAACTTTGCCTTCGGGCTTTTTCCATTTTAACCTGATTCTATTAATGCCAGGTTTAATGTCGATTGCTGTTATTGATGCTGGATCTGGTAAAATGTTTTAAAAAGAGCTCCGTAAATGCTTTCATTTGTAGGAAATTGGTTGGAAAGTAACGGCCAGTTATGTGGTATTGCCCAGGGGGCTTTTCAGAACAATAAGAACAAGTGGTATAAGCCCTGTATTACCAACACAAAGGGGCTGCAGGGCAGGCAGTGATAAACAGAGACAATTACCTGTCATTATCAACAAATTTAACAGGGTAGTGAGAACTTTCAAAGAGAAGAGACCAAAAACTTTGTGTACCTTAAAATGTGTATCTTCATATCATCTGGAAAATAACTTCAAAACCTCTCTTTGGAATGCCGTATTCATGATTGACAAGGTGCCCCATTTGTGTGACTCTATAAACCAGCATAATGCAGATATTTAATAACAGTAAAATAAAAAGTAAAAACTGCAATTTCTTTGATGCTGACTTAACTCCTTGTTCAGTGGCTATACAATTCAGCACTCACCTAGGAATCACCGGAAAGGTGGTGGCATTGCCATTATGACACGGTCCAAAATGAAAGTTGTAAAAAACAAGGCGTCAGAGTTTAAATCTTTTGAATTCCTTGATGTGAATGTTTCCACCCGGAGAGATATGCTGCATTTGATTCTGATATACCGTCCACCCTACTTAAAGAAGCACAAGTACACAGTATCTAGCATCGTAGACGAATTTTCCAAGCTTTTAGAAGGTGATCTGGGTCGCCTGGTAAAAGCTGGAGATTTTAATATCCACATGGATAACGAGATATGCAGCGATGTTAGGAGGTTTAAGGACCTGATTGAATCAATGGGTTTGACTCAACACATCAGAACAGCCAACCACTCAAAGGGTCATATCCCAGGTTTAGTGCTGACTCACACCGACTCCTGCCTTTAAAGTTTCCTTCAAACCACGCTGCAATCCACTTTTTGGCAGACCTTGTACGCCCGGAACTTTCAAAAAGAGTCATCCAACGTAGAGATATATCAAAACTTGATCCAGTAATCCTTAATGATGCGTTTAAACATGTTTTTGAGGATGCGGAACAGACCACAGATCCAAGTACTTTAGTAGATCTGTATAATACGTCTATATCCAAGATCATGGAAGATATTGCACCAATGCAGACCAGAGTCAATGTGGTGTGAAGAGAGGAAAAGATCAGGAAGCTCAGTGGTGCAATTCAAAATTGGAAATACACCGGGAATTATTTAGAACTGCCAGAGCTAACTATCACACCTTCCTTGAAAAGCAAAAAACTGATTTCCATAGGACCTGTATTAAAAGTGTTGATCAAATGGAACTCTTTAGGATTGTGGACAAGATTTCAGAATCTAGGTCAAGCCAGCTAAGTGTGCTTCCTGACATGGAGATGTCAACACTTTCTCAAGTTTTTTTGCAGATTTCTTCACAAACCGGATCAAGGATATTCGGACTTAACTCAAAATTCTATTACAGGATCCTCAGAATCAGATCCATTACCTAGTGAATTTCAAGACAGGTGTGCCAGTCAGGGTGGTGAGGCCCAACTGAGTAATTTACTATCGGTCTCAGAGAAAGAGATTATCTCTGTTATAAAGGGGATGAATTCTAAGTTTTTTGCTCTGGATCCCATGCCAACATATATAGTGAAAGAGTGTACAGTGTATTAATGTGTTATCTCCAGTTATCCTGAGATTAGTAAATCTGTCTTTCTCAACAGGTATCTTTCCATCAAACTGCAAAACTGCAATTGTTAGACCATTACTTTAAAAGCAAGGGCTGTGTAAAAATGTCCTGAAAAACTATAGACCAATATCAAATCTACCATTTTTAGGTAAATTTCTTGAAAAAATGGCATGTTCCCAACTAAGCTAAAAAAATAAACTATTTGGGAAATTTCAGTCTGCCTATAGAGAAGGCCACAGCACTGAGGCAGCTCTACTTCGAGTCCACAACGCCATAATGCTTGCCCTGGATAAACAAAGAGATGTCATTTTAGTTCTTCTAGACCTTTCAGCAGCTTTTATACCATAGATCATAATATTCTTCTTCACTGTTTGCAGCATCGCCTTAGAGTGAATGGACTTGCACTTAGTTGGTTTACCTCATACCTGAAAAACAGAACACAAAGGGTTTCAATAGAGTCGGTTTTATCTCAGCCAGTTAACTTGGAGTATGGTGTCCTACAAGGGTCTGTGTTAGGTCCGATCCTATTCTCACTATACATGTTACCTGTAGAATATATCATACTAAAGCATGGTTTGAACACTGTTATTTTTGCAGATGACACACAAGTATATATTACATGCAAGAGCAGCCAGTCTGCAGCACTCACTTCTATGGAGACTTGTCTTGCAGAGATTCGAGAAGGGATGAAAGTGAACATTTTGGCTTTAAATGATAGTAAGACCGAGTCGATATGGTTTACATCAAGTTTCAATGCAAATAGGAAAAATGCAGCAAATGCCAACATTTGCATAGCAGATGTTCCTATAAAACCATCTAGTTCTGTAAAAGACCTGGGAGTTACCCTCGTTGAAAATGGTACTGTAGGGAAGCGTGTATCTGAAGTGCGTAAATCAGCATCTTATGCGCATTGGAAAAATAAGGAAAGTGTTAGATAACAAAACCACTGAAAAATTAGTACATGTATTTACTTGATTTCATACTTGATTTCATCAAGATTAGATTACTGCAATAGTCTCCTCTTTGGTATTTGTGACTATCAGATTAAAAGTTACAAGTTATTCAAATCTCAGCTGCAAGACTGGTTTGTCAAATTAAGTGCAATAGTACACACCATGTCACTCCCATTCTGAAAGAATTACACTGGCTGCCTGTGAAGCAGAGGATTGATTTTAAAGTACTTTGTAGTATTTTTAAGGCAATCCATTCACAAAGACCATTATATTTATCTGATCTTATCTGTTTTTACTTACCACGCCGGTCCACACGTTTTAATACTGAGAATGACTTTATTTTAGAACATTCTGTTTTAGAGAAGGGGTGCCTCAAAAGTTATGGAAATCGTGCTTTTATAATCTACGCCGCAAAAGTGTGGCATGCCCTACCAAATTTTATTAGAAAAAGAGAAGACGTTGGCCATTTTAAATCTCTTTTAAAGACCCACATTTTTAATTCTGTCTATATCTCTTAGAATTTTTTAAAAACATATATATGTATTTTGAAAAGTTTGATTTTTAGTAGTGTAAATTTTAAATGGTTTCCAATGAGAGTTTATGATTAAAATATTGCAGTCATTTTAATGATTTTAGTATATTAGCCATTATTGTAAGGCGCCATATAAGAATCTTATTATTATTATTATCACATGTATTTCATACATGTATCAAATTACAACAGTCTCACCAAAGCCGGCTTCGCATCCGTGGACCCCTTCAAATAATCCTGGATCCGCCCCTGTGCATATATATATATATATATATATATATATATATATATATATATATATATATATATATATATATATATTTTTTTTTTTTGGCTTAAATTGTACGTTTTTCATTGCTTCTAAACCTTATAAACAAATTTTGGTATATTTTATAAAATTAATAACTTAATATTACTTACACTGGGTATATATATAATAATGACAAAATAGCTCAGATGTGGAATAACGCATCATTTTTACTAACCCTCAGATGGTAGCTTAGAAGTCTCCGATTTAAAACAATCCCCATTCTCATCATCTTCTTTAGTATCATCAGCACATGCACAGATCATGTCTTTTAACCCGGAAACAAATAAAAAGCACGACATTCAATTTCATATTTCAGAGAGACAAGAAAAACTTACCTTTTACAACTTCTTGCTCTAACTGTGGCTTAATTTAAATATACTGTATTTTGATGCATATGCACGTATAAAAATGGATTTACCGTAAAGCTTGTTTATAATAAGCGACCTACCAATGTGATATCTGAAGTGACTGGTGTGTACAGACGTTTTGATCATGTTCTGTATGCAGCTTATAATTTCTTCATTGGTATCAAATTTATCTTCGTTAGCGTTTCCTGGGAAAAAGGACAGTGGTCTGTTCATTTCCGAATTTGCCTAAAAATACAGATTTAATAAATTTGAACCATGAAAATGCTTTTGCAAAAAAATGCAAGAAAAATAAATACAATTACACAAAACTTATACATAAACTGTAAAATTAACATGTACATGGCGGCAGAGATTTACATGTAATTCTAAGATTGAGAGAAATGCAAGACATTACCTCAGCGTGATCTTGTTTCCAATCGGGACTAAAATGTTGTTGCCTGCGCCACCAACCATCCGTCTGGACCTGAGATGTTTCTCCTGTAACTGCTTCATAGTTTGATATTACACCATTAGACACTGCTTGAGAAGCGTAAATAAGCACCGCCAAAAACAAAAGATTATTTAATGAAATATGCTTATTTACGCAATTTTTCCATTAAAGAGGTAAATTTTCCATTGTTTCTAAACCATTTCAATGTAAATAAACTATGGCTTGTTATAAAGTAGCAATAATGACCAAACTTAAGGACAATTCATGCAAACTTCGAAGTGGAAGAAAATATCTAATTAACCGTGAGATGGTAGATGACAAATTCCGTAATCAAAAGGTGTGTTATCATTACCCTCATTGGCATCATCAGCACCTTTACAGCTCGTTTTTTCAAGTTTCAAGGAGACAAAATACAAAAATCCAACATTTTTACTTTTCAGAACGACTCGTTCTATTTGAAAAAAATGTGTATCGTTTCTTTTTTTAATTTTAAAGAATACAAATCAGAAACTTCTTAACTTTACCTGATAGCGTTAAGCTAAATCAGATTCACTTACGATTAATTCCATTGGGGAGAGAACGGCAAACATTTAAGTACTGCGCTTTGTCAATTTTCACACCAACAAAGATCTCTTCCCAGCCAGCCATTTCCTTCATGGGAATGGTCACAATGTCATCTGTCAACATATTCGACAGGTCTCCAGACAGATAGTCGTCCCACATCATTTCTAATGCTGACCTCGTTGTGAATCTGAGTGTTAACCGCAGGCAACCTCGTGCAGCAATTATTACCGAGGCACCATAATTATCGACGAATACACAAGTTGCCTTTTTTAAGTCCCGTGCGTTAGTGAGGGCTGTATCAGTGAATATTTTGTCCAAAATTTTGTTAACTCCTCCAGTCACACGAGAGCATATGTTCAGTTTAACGTCAACATCTGTTCCCAAAATTAAAAAAAAAGTATTAGTACAGAAAATACACATTGGCCTTTCTTAATATCCGCAAGGATGAAAAAAGTATATGGCTTAATTGACAGTCTCAACCCAAACCGCAGTTTTGCCTTGATTTGCTTATCATATACGACATCAAAAAGGTTTTTATAATAGCATAAGAAGCAAAAAAAAAAAAAAAAAAAGGAGTCTTGACAGTATTTTTTGCTGTTGCTAAAATTCTCTCGAGTAACAGAACATCTTTTTATGCAATTTCACGCAAGAAATGAATGTTGCAAATAAGATACAACATCATTTCTATTTATTGATTTAAGTAATGCAATAATGGTGAAGTTTATACATGTACGTAAAAATTGTATATACTGTGTGGTTGTTTAGTAATTCTTCACGCTCTGGACCGTTGCTGAGGTAGTTTACTGTTGGACATATTTCTTGAAAATGGATCAAATGCCAATCCAGCAGTTCTGCTGCAATGGTTGTTGCAGAATTTATCTCGTTTATTGTAGAAATATTACATTTAGAAAAAAATATGTGAAGGTGTGGATACCTTTAAAAATGCACATCTATACAGAGTTATATGTATTTATTGTCGTTTAACAGGTCAACGATGACGTATCTTAGGAGGAAGGTCATTAAGGAGTAATACAGGGGGCGCTATATTCAAACAGTGAACAGAGCACGTGAAAAGGGAAAAGTCGAAGTCGATCAGCGCTGCTGTACAGACACTGGTTCTCCCCTTTATTCCTTATAAAACTGTGTATAAAGACAACTGTATTCATAAAGATATTGTTTTTTTGTGTGTTATAAAATTATCAGAATTATATAAGTAAGAACTAGCACCGAAATTGGAATTGAAATTGGGCTGTGCGGAAGATCTTACTCAAATGACTGGGGATGGAGTAAAGTCTTTTATGTGAAATTGTACTATCCGTACACAGGCAGAGGCACATTGACCCCTTTCTATTAATTAATAAATGGTTTTGATGTTTGAAGATGAAGTAGTTTTGTTCGTTGATAGTAATTAGACAATAAATACTTTATTTACGTTTAAGCATCAGCGAATTAGAATATCAGTTACTTTTCTGAAACCTGAATAGACCAGTGCATAAGAGTTTTGATTAAAAAAACAGAACAACTTTGGCTTACCTTTTGAATTCATAACCTTGTCCATGCCGTAAAAGAATATGCCCATTTCTTCAAAGTTCCTTTTCAGTAGTTTATTAGCTCTTCTATCGAGCAGCTCAGCACCAATTCTGTCCCATTTCCTTCTAGCACTTTTCCAATCTAAAGCATAATTTTATATAAAAGTACAATGTAACACGGAGTTTTGTTTTTAAAATCCATACAAAAAAGTATCTACAGTATTTATTAATAATTTATGTAACATACGTTTTAAATAGGGTGTATTTAAGTTCGACTCACCTCTTTTGACATTTGCCTTCTGAACACTTCCTTTTCTTTTGGAACCACTACTGTTTCTCTTTTCTGGAAATAGTAGGTCTACAAATGCTTTATGTGGTTCTTTATACGAATTATATGCCAGACTTTTCAAACAATATATTTTTTCTAAATAGAAATATTATACAACATTAGTCAAAAAAGTTGTCCCATCCCCAGTTTCATGTGGTTTTATTTATAAATGATCACATCACAGGAGTTAATTGCTATGAATGGTGATTTTCATTCCAGATACAATATCTAACATGATAAGTGGTACAGAAATACAAACTAGCGGTGAAGGTATCATTTGTTACATGTACCCCCTCAAATCTGCTCTTCTACTGTCATTTCCACAGAGGTAGAGGGTAAAGAATTAAATTGAAAAGGCACGTGTGTTTACCGTGCATAATAATTTTAATTATTATTTAATTAATAATTAATTTAATTATTATACATACCTAGGGATGTTATATGACCGTGGCGATATGATGATGATCACTGAAGCCTGTCCATTTAGCCAAGCTTCAGTGAAGATCGAGGGCAACCTGGAGCCGCTACCCAAAAATGTCTCGCTTCACTCGACATTTCTGCGTAGCGTCTCTCGGAGAACTCGGATTTAACCTCGATGTAGTCTAGAATTTCACGACTACATCTTGGTTAAATCAGTCGAGGTCTCTTAAATGCTAAAAGCCAAAGACAGTGATCATGTGACCTTCTTGGCATCAAGAGAATAGTGACGTTGCTTACGTTATATACCTACCAGTAGACAAATTTAAAATCTCTCACACTCTTAAAAAATTAGCATAAACTTTTCACGTTTAAATATTATTATTTATAATTTTATTACACTAAGTCATGTCATATGGGTATGGTTTGAAAACGGGAATTAGTTAACATTTAAGCCACACGTGTATAAAAATTATCTGTAAATCTATAACTTTTTAATGAGGATTGTATTATTATTTACCTTTTGTTTTTAAGCTGTTCATTCTTCCTCTTTATCAGATATATCGGTAAAAATCAAATGTATTCCCCCTTTGAACTTACTTGTAATAACATATAGCACATGAATGCTCTGAAAACCAGCACATGTATATTCCGAAACCGCCTCGTAGTAAAAAATGGCACCAAAACGTAGAATTATTACTCCTGTGGACTTGAAATAAACATCCGTTTGATTTGGCTAAATGGACAGGCTTCAGTGATCATCATATCGCCACGGTCTTATAACATCCCTAGGTATGTATTTGTAAATAAAAACACATGGCATTGGATGTGGAACAACCTTTTTCACCAATGTTGTATGTATTTTACCAAGTGTTACTTTACATCCTTTAACTTTTGCAATATTTTCTTTTGTGAGCAACAATCACTTATACATACTGATACGAATCTTTCGGATTGTCTCGGAAGTCTTTTTTATTTCTTTGTCCAATCTTTGAAGGCCAACCGCATTGAGTGCTTTGCTCAATTCTTTATATTCCCCTAAGTCTATGATCCCGCGATCATAAAGACACTCATAGAGATCACAGAAGTCGCCTATTTTCTCCAGTTCACGTGGTTTGATCTTACGACCAAACCACTGTTTGATACTCTTAAGTTTGTCTTCTACTATTCCGTCCCCCAACGATAGACAAAGATTGTTGTGCTCTTCTGAAATAAATGACGCACAATACATGTATTAAATCACTGGGGTCTACCGAACTGACTTGACGATGTCTGTTGTGTTAGACCTTATTAAGAAGATCTTTAACGAGAAGTGGACATCTATAAACGGATTTTTTAAACACATGGACAATGCAGCTAAACTTTAGAGTCAGTAAAGTTTTATTAGGAAATTGGCAAATCTACAGCTTGGAGGATTTTTGATCATAAAGAAAAAGACAATAGATTAATGGTCAATTGTCAATTTCCCAGTTGCAAAACTAATGGGCAATTTGTCCATTTAATTAGAAAAATAAGATAATATCGGGTTTCGTCAGGGACTGACCATGCTTGAAGGAAAATTTTTGAAGATGAAAAAAGCATCAGTTTTTTTCCTATGGTCAGTTGTCAAATTCTCAGTTTCCATACCAATGCACAATTATTTTCATTTGAAAAAAAAAATGAGATTATAACTGATTTCGTCAGAAGTGTGACTGAGCAAGCTTGTTGACAAGTTTATTTTTAAACCGTCAAATATCTGTTAACAAAGTAAGCCACAAATAGGTATCGCTTAGCAAGACGAGTAATGGTATTTCTTTAAATATTTGTTTTAAGTATACCCAAGGAAAAAAAGAAACGCAACACTCAGTTTTGGGAGTTTTTGGGGGCAGAATAATTTTATTTTTCAGATCCGCCAGTTTTATATGAACCCTACATCCATTTCTAATCCTCGGACAAACTTTTTAGGCGTTTACACATTTTTGAATCCAATAACACAACCAAACAATAGAGCACCCACCCCCAAACCAAAAGTGGCAGGAATTACATCATACTGTCAATAGTTCACGGGACCCCTCGTTAGCATCCTGGACAGCGGTTATTCGTCGCCTCGTGGAACAGACCACGTCTGTCTGGTGAATTGCCGATATGGCTGCCCAAATCACGACACTGGGACCGCCCTACCGGTTCACTTGGCGCACACAAGGTTCGGCATTCCTCTCCTGACGTCTCCTGTACACCCGATCTCGGCCATCTGCTCTGAAGCACTGGGACCTTTTCTCGTCACTGAACACGACTTGGGGACCACCTCTGCAAAGTCCAACGATGATGTGCAGTGCACCATTCGATGGCCATGTTGGGGGGTAAGAACTGATCCAATATATGGCTGATATGGGCGGATACCGTCAGCACGGAGGCGATTACGGATGGTTCTGGCCAATAGCAGGCTGGTTAAAAGTCAAACGCTGCATTTTATAGTACAAATGTCTAACTTGGCATAAATGTTCCTTGGGCCAAAAGAATTTTTTTTATCCAAAGAGACACGCTCTAACGATGCATAAATTAGCATAAATTATGCAAATTAGATGCCAAAATATATACTATTTCATATTTCCATAAATGTTATGCTTGTGTGCTGCCGGTGTGAACGGAATGCAGATCCGCCCGCCTAGGAACGGTGGTCCTATAACTATGTCCGAGTCGACCATTTAAAATAGCAACTAGTGGATAATCACTATTGGCAGTAATGTTATGCTTTAGTGAGCACATATAAGTACTCCGTAAAAGCGACGGTTTGCCAGTTCGTCTCCCTGGTGTAGTGGTAAGGCTGCATGGATGCAATGCAGAGTAATTGTGTAAGTGAATGGAGGTTCGAATATCGTTTACAGAAATAAAATTATGTTTACTTTTCGTGTGTTTTTTCTTTTGTTTTATCCTGGTTGTCATTTTTGCCACGTAGCAAATTTTTTAATTGGTTATAGACATAACCAGATGTCACACGCTACCTTGTTCTACTATAAATACCGCTCATATATGAATACCACGCCCTCACTAAACGTTTGAGATGACGAAGACAAGCAGCACCCGGACCAGGCCCGAAGTTAAAGTTAATTTCCAATAACTTCAGGAGGGCACGTATCCTATCGAGACAACACCAACACAGAAAAGAGTTATCGGAGAACAAGCAAGTCTAATTATAAAGTAATCTTTCAATTGTCATGAGGTTAAATATGCAATATTATTAGAGGTCACACTTCGTTATACCAAGATATACAATTCCAGGGATGTGTGTCCAATGGACCTATGTACATGTACCTTGAATAAATGTCCTGCAGGGGATTACTATTTCATGGGTATTTATGCCCGGGGGACTACCATTTCTGGGATTTTAGGTCCGGCGGACAACCATTTCTGGGATTTTAGGTCCAGGGGACAACCATTTCTGGGATTTTAGGTCCGGGGACAGCTGCTTACGATTCCATTTCTCAGTTTTAAACTCGAACAAAACAACAGTAGTATAGGTCAATAATTCCTTTAACATCATGAGTGCACATATATGCATATTGTAATGCTTATTTCAGATTGAACAATGCAAGCTCTATTACAGAGTTAGCAAGAGGAAAGTGAGGGACGTAGCAGATGAAGGGCAGAATGATAATGATGATAATGATGTTGGTGGAGTATGGCAAGAAGTTGTAATAAACAGGGAAGAAGTAAAAAAAAATTGGATACACTGCATACATCACCGCTTGGTAAGTATCTACTAAAATAATTCCGTATTGACAATACCGCGTATATACGTTGCTTTATTTAATTGTGTGACATAATTCCAGACATTGAAAAACGTAAAGTGTCTATAAAATGCGATGTATTAATTTCCTTGTTTTTAAATTTAAGGTGGTCACCTAGGACGAGATCAGACACTGGCCAAAGTTGAACAGAGATATTATTGGCCAAACATGGTAGACCACATCAGAAATTTCATTTTAAAATAAGACAAATGTCAGCGTGTCAACAAAAAGAGCAACAACGGCTCTCCACCGCTTAACCCTATTCCCGTGAACAAGCCTGAGGCGTGGAGGATGGTAATCAAGACACTTTTTCTCTTAACCGTGATTTTTAATTGGAAAAATAGATATTGAAAATCATTTTTCATTGTTAACGTCATATTGTTTTAACAGAAAACGTTAAGACTTGTGGAAATTTCTTTCTTTTTCAGTTATTTATGTAGTTAAACATCTACGAAATTAATGTAAAATTAGAAATAACGTATTTTTATTAATTTTTGGTATATTGGGATCGATCTAATTGGGCCAATGCAACAAACAGAAAGGGGTAATAAGTACGTATGTACTGTTGTGTGCCACTATGCCAAGATGGCCCATGGACGTGCCTTGCCCTCCAAGGAAGCGACAGGGGTAGCCAGCTTTTTTTGGACCTTTTTTACGTAAGTATTGAATGTTATAGGTGCAGTAATGAATATGTATCGACAACGATTGCTTTCAAAGTTACATGTTAAGATAATTAATTTACTTTTTTTAAATAGGGTGCGTTATACCCCTTCTATGACATTAAAAAGTAACATTTCCGATGAACATCATGACGACGAAGTTGGTAACTAAAATAACCATGGCATTACTGAATGTTTTCCAGTTTTGGATTCCCCAAGGAAATGCTAACTGACCAGGGAAGAGAATTCAACAACAACATGTTGCACTGTATTACCACGTCACTTCAAATAAAACATAGAAGAACCACAGTCTTGTACATTTGTATACTTCGTAGTCAATACCATTTATATTAAAATTGAATGCAGGTGAACTGTGATTAACGATGCAAAAACACTTATGGTATCTAAATTAATTTTACAGGTTCTTACCGTGGGAACAAAAGTGTTGAAAAGAAATTTACGAAGGAGTGACAGAAAGGGGGGCAAACAAGAAAACCCCTGGCTGGGGCCCTTCGTTGTGAAGGGGATATAAAAATCTGGAGCTTACATCCTCCAGATTGAAGGCGGGTGCACACTGAAAGCCGCCGTAAACAGGGCAAATGTGAAAGTTTATGTTGCAGATGAATAAATAAAAGAACTGAAATAAATATATGAAAATGTAACAAGTGTTATTCTTCATATACCTTTTTTATTCCATTGTATTTGTTTAGGTGAAATATTTTAAAAGTAATGGTCATATTATCTATCTATCTATCTATCTATCTATCTATCACTCACTTTAAGTGCAAGAGAAAAATGGGAGCGGACATATATTCCTAGTGTAAATCAGGATAACAGGTCCCATCCGGACTTAGATTCCTGGCGGTGGGACATGCATTCCTTGGTAACTGTTGTGCTACGGACGTTAAATCCTAGTAACGTATGTCCTAGGACCTCCATTCCTAGAAACGCTAGACCTAGGACTTGCGTTCCCAGGGCTAAGTGTCCGGTCGGACTTGCGTTACTAGGACTACCAATCCGTTCACACCGGCAATCACCTATGGTTCAGAGACCTGGGCACTAAATGCCTCCATGGAACACAAGCTACAAGTAGCTCAGAGAAAGATATAAAGGATTATGTTGAACATCAGTCCAAGAGAGCGGAAAACGAATGTATGGTTACGTGAACAGACCAAAGTTAAAGACGTACTGCTCACAGTTGAAGAAATGAAATGGAGGTGGGCAGGATATTTCATAAGAATAAGGGCAACAGGTGGACAATCATGCTTACAGAATGGACCCCAAGGTATGGACAAAGAAAAAGAGGAAGACCGGTCAAACGATGGAGGGATGAATTACATGACTACTGGAAGTCTTGGAAGAAGAAACCTTGGCCAAACTGGAAATTTGAGGCTCAGGGTAGGAAACAATGGAAAAAGCATGCTGAGGCCTTTGTCCAACAGTGGAACACTATAGGCTCTAAATGATGATGATGATAAATGTTTGGCCTAGAGACATGTATAGATTATCAAACCTGACTAAATTAGGGACAAGGAACCCATTTTTGATCATTTGGAAGTAATTGGTGGCCTTTGTGTCTAAAATCCAAGATGACCGCCACCCGCCATTTTGAAAGTGGACATAATTTTGCTATTTTATGTTGAATTTTAAAGCGTTTGGTCTATATATATATATATCGATCCCTACTATTTTGGGGGTGCGAAAATCATTTTTGATATTGTTTTGGTGATAGATGGTGATTTGAAGGGACAATGAGGATGTTTTAAGTACCTGCCAAGATATCTGTGAATGCTGCAAAACCAGTTAGTAATCTAATTAGTACAAAACTATGTGCTTTAACACACTTTAATGATTTTGCCCGCTCTATAAAACCTGTGTCAGCAAACAAAATGGCTGAATTAAAGCAAAAGAATACATCTTTGACCCCATGAGGAAAATTGTTAGCCATCATTTTGATCAAAACCAAGTGTTGGTTGCATGCCGATATTCTAATAATTTGGTGTAATTTATAATCTTTGAACTGTGGGAGCCTCATACGCTTGTATTAGGTAAAATGTTTTTATTCTGGGGTCTCAAAAGTTATTTTCTGGTGCTAATTTGGTGATGGAAGATAATAAAAAGGTAATATAAGGTTGTAAAATAAATTCCAAGATGACTTTCGTTGAGTCTGTTACATAAATGTGGGACCCGAACCACATGCTCAAATATATCATCTAGATTTATCTTTAGTGACCATCCACTAAAAGAATAATTTAAAGGTAAGCAATAAATGTATATACATAGCGGTATTATATTATTAAACTTTTACTGGTCAATGTGAACCAAAAAGCCACATGTACATTTATGTCCCAGTCACTGGGGCTTGCATTTGCATGTTAAATATAGTCCAGAAGATTTGAAGGGTGAAAATGTGTCGTCTTATAATACAATGGAACTTGGTTAGTTGTATTGATGCGTAAAGGCCCGTGAAAGACAAGCAAATGAACTTTGCTTTGAAATAGCTCCAGATCTTGTCTGCAAAATCATCCAGCAGCACAGCAAAAAGAAACATGCATGATCAGCTCTGGTAGGCCAATAAGACAGCAGCCAGTAAGAACTGAGGTTTTGTTGGTGTCTTATGAGGAATAGCCAAACAATATATAAAAATCCACTTTCCAGAGAAACATCAATGCATGGGAACATGTTGCATCAGAGGAAAGTGGCATCTTTACACAAAAGAAGGAATCTGCAAAGCCAACTAGAAAGCAGCAGCTGCGCAGGTAGGCAAGAAGGGTAATGCAAGAAAAAAAGTCCAGGAAGCAGCATCCTTTCCTAGTTGACAGTGCCCGTGATCCTTCCTAGCATGATTTGGCCAGACAAGTCATCTCACCAGTAGAAATCCACAAGGCGACTACATTCTCATTGTTTCCAATGGACGAACAAGCACAAAACATCTATAGCATATGACAACTACAGGAAAATTCATCTTGGAATCATCTTAAAACACCTTATGCCTTTTTTGTTATCCTCTGTCACCAGAACAACACCAGAAATTAACTTTGTACTCCAAAATAGTAACAATTGATGTATTACGATCCTATGAAAGTCAAACAGCTCAAAAAAGTAAATTATGCCATAATTTTAAAATAGGGACAGGCTCTTGGATATGAACAAAAGAATGGCTAACAGTAGTCACCATAAAGTCGAATCAGCCATGTTGGTCTCTTGCACTCAATCTATGTCTGGCAAAATCATTTAATTGTTATAAAACATATTTTTGCACAAATTTGACTTCAAGACGTATACAAGCGAAGGTGAAGACGTAAGCCTGTATTGGTGTTGGAGCCTTGTAATATTTTCTTTTTGGATTATATCTCACAAGAGATAAGACACGTGAATTCTGCAACCCAAATGATAAGAAACGATGTATAACATGCTAGTGTAAGAGCAAAAGCTTCAATTTGATGACTTATACATTACCCGTATTACAAATTGTGACTGCTGGCCATCTTGGATTTGACGATCAAAATGGCTACCAATTGTCTCCAAAGAACCAAGTATGTGTTCTTTACCTTTAATTAAGCCATTTTGGTCTCTTACACTTGTTTCAAGCTATTTGGATTTTATAACACATTTTGTACTAATTAGACTACATGGCACATTTAAGTCTATGTGACAACTTAAGCCTACATGTATATTGATTTTGGAGGCTAAAATAATTTGTACTCATATTTTATGAAACGGATAATGTATTCTGCACCAGAAAACAATGTAAAACGACGTGTTACTCATTTACAAAGATGTAATACATATAGGTTCAAAATAGCGAATTATGCCCAATTTCAATATGGTTTTTGGCGGCCATCTTGGATTTGAGAGATAAAAAGGCCACCAATGGCCTCCATAATGGTAAAAATGAGCTTTTTTGCTCATAATGTGTCCAATAGTGATGGTATATAACAAGAAATTGCATTGGCATATATTTGAATACGGATTATAAATATCCATGGTTTTGCAGCATTCACAGATATCTTGGGAGGCACTTAAAACACCCTCTTTGTCCCTTCAAATCACCATCGATCACCAAAACAATATCAAAAATTACTTTTGCACCCCCACAATAGTAGGAATCGATAGTATATATAGACCAAACGCTTCAAATTCAACATAAAATAGCAAAATCATGTCCACTTTCAAAATGGCGGGTGGCGGTCATCTTGGATTTGAGGCACAAAATGGCCACCAATTGCTTCCAAATGATCAAAAGTGGGTTCCTTGTTCCTAATTTAGTCGGATTTGATAATATATACATGTTTCTAGACCAACAGTTTATGGAAATATGAAATATTATATATTTTGGCACCTAATTTACATAATTTAGCTTATTTATGCAACGATAGAACGTGTCTCTTTGGATAAAAAATTTTCTTTTGGCCCAAGGAACATTTATGCCAAGTTAGACATTTGTACTATAAAATGCAGCGTTTGGCCAATTTTTGGCCCTTAACAAGCCTACTACAATGGTCTTGGCTGCAGACCTGGTGGCGGACTGGAACCTGTCACAGAGATGTACCAGCCGGTTGGTGCGGTCTTGTCGTTACACGGGGGCGACCAGTACGAAGGCGGACGTTAGAGGAACCAGTGACATGGTATCGCTTAGCAAGACGAGTAATGGTATAGTGGTGGACTCCAAACATCCTGGCGACAGCACGACAACCCCATCCAGGTTGGCGCATGCCAACAGCTCGATCCATCTCTGGTTGCGACAATCGTGTCATCGTGAAGAAGTGTGTTTTTGGCTTCATTCTGGTACCTTTTTACAGAGAAGGCTTGAGCACAGTTAACCAGTGGTAAAACTCAATTCTGAGTTTCAAACATGAGTTTGTGTGCATGAAAAATCCCGAAATGCACTCTTTAGTGTCCTCACAATCAGTCAAGCGGAACCAAGAAATCTGTTAACCTGTCTTCAGCCTAATTTAGAGTGAAATCATGATGCTAAGCCATTTTCCAAATGCACCCATATTTCGTGGGAATTTTCAAAAATTAAAATGTTGCGTTTCTTTTCTCCTTGAGAAGTAAACATTTATTGTTAAGATTTATAAATGCGCTCTTACCATGTATTAACGGGCTATTGTCTACGTCTGGTACTTCTGTTCCTGCTTCACTCTGAAACATATATTTGGACACGGGGTTGCTATTTATCATGCTGCTCCGCTCAATTGCTTTGTCTACAATGCACATACCGCTATAGGAAGCTAAATTAAAATTTTAAAATATCCTATAATACATGTATAATATATGTCACCATCCCTAACGCCTTGCATATTAAACCAAAACTCACCCATGTCTGCTGGTTGTGCCGCTTTCTTTTCATAGTGGCGTTTAGATAACTTCTTCCTTCCTACTATACACCAACACGTCTGTGAACCAATTCAGAACGGAAATATTACGGGAAAAAGAAACTGAAAAGGACAGATTACAGTACATGTGTTATTATTAAGCCAGTTCCTCAACATTATCTATATATAAAGGATAACTAAGCGTCCTATAACTAACTATTCTGTCAGAAAAACGGTGCTACATTGTACATATACATGTACAGGTACTTATAATTTTATATGTAATGCGTAAAACCCTTTATAATTTAATTTCCGGGCAGATATGATAATGAATGATTCAAATAAGTCGTTGCTGTTTATTTATTTTTTTTATATATCATTTATAATAATGATATTATTTGAAACATTGCAACCAAAAGGTTGCACCTGTACAGATAAATGGGTTCGAATAAAAAAAAAAATGATAAAATAAAATAATTATGGGACGTAAATGCATTACAGCAAGAATCCCTGCAGAGTTGGATCAATCCAGCTGGTATATTTACGATGGCTGAACCTGAATGATCCCTTACAGTAGTCCTTGTTTTGTTTTTGTATGTTGTAATATAATGGGTGATTTATAATTGTTTGTAATAAATCGGGTCCAAAAAGTTAAATTAGCTGTACATGTACATGGACAAACAGACATGTAGAAAGGCAGTAGGCGACCAGAAAGCACTATAAGTATACAGTCACGAAAATTGGCGAATTACGAGACAGAAATACAAGCTCCTAAATTTATTTGAAATGGTTTATGCACAGAATATGTACATCCTCAATAATCGACTAAATCTAGTAATAGTCTTTCATACAGTAATTGAGTAGGGCCTATTGAAAAGCTTAAAATTTATATATATATAAGAATTAAAAAATAATAATATAGTCCAAGAATTTGGTGCAGAAAAAGTGGTAAATTGTCGTTTTTTACCTACAAGCATGAAATTTGCCACAGTTGTAGATACAGTCTGTCCAATCGGCAATCCTCGGCTCATTCCGCAAGCTCCATACTAACAACAAAGTTATTGTCGAGTGCGGAGACATCCGAGTAGTTCCGAGTGCAGTCTGTCCGCAGATCTTGCATATCAATGCGTAAGCGGTGGTCATTACAAAAACACCTACGCGCTTGCACAAAATAGTCCGCGACGTGTGTTTCGCGCCATGTTTTCCAAAATCCGAAGTTGTTATATAAATCCATGAAGCTCTGTGAATAACTCATTATTCAGCTTGAAACTTTCAAAAAATAAAATTTAGAACTTGATGTAAACGCACAATGTAAAATGAACATTTCAATTTCCACGAAAGCCTTGTATCAGTTGTCTACAAATAGCACACGCACTTTTCTCAAGCAGATCGTGTAATTTTGTACAGTACCCTAAAATGAAATGATTGTAGAAAAAATGGACAAACTTACTTTATTGATATTATAACGATTTATGCAACTATATATGCTGGAAATGAACCAAAAATAATAAAAAAAATTGTACAACCGTCCTTTTTTGTGAAATTCCTATTTTAGTTCGAAGTATGTAGGTCAGTCGAAAGTGGAACTGTCACGTTGCACTGAGGAAGTGACTCGAAAGCGATTTTCTCGGCAAATCTTGCATTTCGGTTAAAAAAATTGAATGTTCAGCTTCTCAAGTGTATATTTATAGTATACAGTGTGTCACTGTCATAGTGAGAGTTGTTATGGAAAATAATACGTGAAAAAACGCCATCGGTGCTGCAGATCGACCATATCGCTGCCATAACATGGTTTTAGAATGGAAAAAATCTGCCGTTTGCCTTTCAAGTTACATAGCTTTGGGTTTGCAGACTAAAAGGTGAGTCTTTTTTTTTTTGCATTCACTTAGTTTCATATAAGCGCCGAAATGTATAGAAATGATTTTGGAGTAACCTCCCTTCGCATAGTTTTCATGCACTTGTTGACGTTTGTACAGTAAAATGTTATATTTTGTTGCAAAGTTATAGTTTTACTTTGTTTAGGCCTACTAGCATAGATCTACCTTTATCCGTTCTATTTCCTTTACAAACATGTATGATTTTATCATTATATTATAATTATTTTTAACAGATTCCCGAATTTCATATCAGCTGACAATAAGGGAAGAGGTGTTCTAGTCAAGACCAGGGAAAATTTATTTCCATCCGATTTTGTGTGATGGTGCTGTTGATGCAGGTGTGACTGAACAAGAGATGGTGTTTTGTAGAGTCTTGGATATTGTTTACCCTAGAAACCTTTTTCATAGCAGACAAGTTCTGGAACAATACTTTCTTCAAGTATTAAACAGGATGGGCTTTGACCCACAAGACTTCCACTGAGAGTGGCCTGCATTTAAAGAACACATAGGTGGCATGTTTATAGTGAATAAAAGTAAAGATATGTGTATGGATTTGTTTCAAGGCTAGGAGATCAGACAAAGATAAGAATACATACAATAATGCTAATTGAAATTGCCTTGTTCACCCTGTCCACATCACAGGTGGAGAGAGGATACAGTGCTCTCAAAAGAATCAAATCTGACTGGAGGTCAAGTTTGGGGAATATTATGCTTAAGTTAACCAAATATTGACAGCAGTTTTATAGGGGCCAAGTTTTGATGATCATTTAATCAAGGAATCTATCAACCACTGGGTGGCAGGGTGACACTCTGGGAAAACGGCCCAATTTTGAACTTGAAAATTGATTTAGTTTTCTGTTTGTCATATCCAGCAGGTAAATGACCTGGCCATTGAAGGTTCTAAGGAAATAAAAAAATTGAAACATACTCTATACTGAAGTTTTCTTTCTTTTTTTTTTAAATGTTTAATGCATTTTACTTTGTTATGTATTTAATTATACTTAATTGTATGCCAGTTTTGGCTAAAGTAATATTCATAACTTGCTGGGGCAGGTGCTTCTCCTGCCCTCAGAATAGACAGATCAAGTTGGCCACCGAGTTTATTGGAACCTTGTTATCTGCTGTAATTTTAAAGGCAAAGAGTTTCCAAAAAACTTTTAACAAGGTCAGTGCATATTCATGAGGCTGATTGAACATTTCCCAGGAACAGTGCTTTAAGGACATGAATTTTTAATGTTAACTTAGTTTTGTTTATCACACAGATTTCAATATTTTGCATTTTTAAAAACAGAAATGTAAATTTTAAATAGATTAGGGACATTTTTTAAAATTATAATTGGAAGGGTCTTATTTTAAATAGTTTAATATGTAAGAGACAAAAATAGTACTAGTAAATAGAAATAAATCTTGAGCAGTAAAATAAGAGAACAAGGCAGAAGTGCAGATCTTATATAATGATTAAACCGGTGTTGAATGATTTTTTTTTATCAAAACACTTTCAGGCTTTAAAAAGTACAACCTGGTCATAGGACAGTAGGGCCTACTTCTTTGTAAATATTTATTCAATTAAAAAATCTTGTTTTATTTATTACTAGATCTAGCAATATCTTTCTATATTGGTCAAAATTCACACTGGATTTCTTGTGGATTGGATCATAACTATTATATTATTTTTGATGTTTTAAGAATGAAGTATATAACTCTTGGAATATTCCTGATGATAGGTGTACATCACTTGTTCGTATTTTAGTTTCATTGTGACTTGTTTGCTCTGATATTCAGAATATTTAAGAAAACTAGTAGTCTTGCTAAGTCGGGTCAGTGCTTCAGGTTGGTCACGTGACGCTATAAATTATGATGAAAATGGGGTTCCATTTTTGTCGTCGTTTTGGAGATGCACTAATTTCCCCACACAAAATGGGTAAAAATTGTAGGAGACATACCTTATGATATATCATTTGAAAGTTTATGATTTTGTCTTTCTGGAGCATATAAATGTTTGAAAATATTTTGCGCTTCCTGCGATACATAGTCACAGTAACCTACTGCACTTGAAAAAATCGGTTTTGCCAACTTTTACACCGACTTCACGGGATTATTAACACTTTGCCAACCAGATGGGAGCCGAACGCAACGCATATTTCATATCAACACGAAGCCCACTTGTTTAGCTTTTAGAATTTATATAAAACGTTGGTGATATAAACATTATAGCAATTTTGTTATAATTTAAACGCCCCAATGTTATACGCTTAAAAAATGCGAGTGCTTGGCGTCACGTTCACCTCGCGCTTAAAAAAATGGACAAAGCTGAATTCACAAAATATAAATACCGCCAGAAAGCGAGTTTAACCAGCTTTCATGATTTAGTTTTTAAAAATTTGTACAATTTAAACTTCTTATAGATATCTTTACAAAGATAATTTCGGACACCTGAAACGGGACACCATTTGCAATCACCCGCGTGGATAAATCTTCCATTTTACCGTTCTGAATCTATGTTTTATGACAACTAACCTTAAAATAGCGAATCCCTAGATATTCCCACTTCTTTTTATATCTATCGTTTAATCACATCAACTGTTGACAAAAATACACATGAAAATACGAAGAGCTCAAAAGTCGTCCATTTTCACTCGATTTTGCTGAAAGTAGTGCGAAAATGGCCGTCGCTTCAGACAGTGTGCACGCGCAGCTCGGAATCTGCGGACAGACTGATAATGGAATTCTAAGCCTTTTTGGATATATGGGCATGTCTGAAAATTCCAGTATGGCCGCCAAATCCAATATGGCCGCCACAAATACTCTTTTAAATTAAAACATCTAATATATAGTCCTATAATGGTTTAAAATATCATTTCATAGCTGGAAAATATCATGTTATGAATGAATTAATTATCAATATCTGCTTCTACAGGTGTATAGAATTCCAAAATGGCCTCCAAAAGTAAAATAAGCAGTCTATTTACTCAAAATATGCAGCAGTTTGGTGAAATCATCAAGCACTTACAATTACAAGCATAAAAATTGGCACAGTTGTGGAGAACATGATTCTAAGCAACGTTGGATGTAGGGGCATGTCTGAAAATTCCAATTTGGCAGTCAATTTCAACATGGCCCCCAAAATACCCTTTCAAGGTGAAAGTTATTTGTATAGTCTTTTATAATAATATCATCTAATGGTTAGAAAATACCATTGTATGTATGTAATATCAGTATCTGCCACTTTAGGTTTTAAAATTCCAA